AAACCGAAAAGAGTGTGCCTCATAATGGAAAGAACCACTGTGACGTAGTCTAGTAAAACAAACAAACAAACAAACAAACAAACACCTGAATCTGATCAAACATCTAGATCTAGCCACCACTTTACAGTAAACATAGAAAAAGAGGATTGTGTTAAAAATTTCTTAGAGTTGAAAAAAACAAAATCTAGACTGTGGGAAATGTTACAAACGACCCAGTTTCTTCAACAGAAAAAATGATGTAGAGGAAAACAAAAGAGACTCAAGCAATCAAAATGTGGCCCTCATTTGGATTCCAATTTAAAGAAAATTTGAATATCCAATTAAAGAAATGTGAAAACAGACCAAATATATGATATTAAGGAATTATTACTATTTTTTTGTGAGATAATGGTCTTAGAATTGGGAAGCTAAGCTACTTTTGTAGATAGTTGAAAAATCATAAAAAAATTTAAAAAATTCTCACCATTGCCCCAAATGTTCTTGCTTAAAGTCACTCAGATAGTAATTTATGAAGCTCAAGTTGAAACACTGTGAATTAAGGTGCAAGTAGACATAAATCACTCCAAATGAAAGTTACTCTGCATTTGCTAACCTATTTTTTAGATTTCTTGATGTTCTTCAATAGTCTAAATCCTTAATTCTCAGTCTCCACTGCCATGAAATTATTCCCTTAGTTTCCCTAATTTGCTTTGTTACCTGGGAATAAAATTTAGAATGACTATAAATGTTAGTCTTTCATTTGAGCACTTGCATCTTGGGTACTACACCTGTCAGGTCACTTCACTGAGCAACTTTGAGCTGAGATGTCTGGCAGAATGGCAAATAATTTACAATTTTTTTCTTAGCTTTTCCAGTGAGCCAGAATTGACAAGAAATCCCTGTGAGTATGCCTGGAATAAATCTATATGATATTTCATTATAAAATGCTTTTTAATGGTATTCATTGTTCTTGAAAGTTAACCTGAGAACCAAAATTAGATCATCACAGAAGTCTGCAAGTCTCCTCAGTGGCTTTGATTCAGAAGTCACACTAGGTACACTAACCCAAAGCTGACACATTGCTTTAACACAAGACAGCTTTTTTCCCCAATGTTACTTAAATCAATAATTTTCCTTTTTGATTATGAAGTATTTTAAATTGTTGATTTGTAGCTTTGAAGTCTATGGAGAATTGTCTAATTCAGCAAGAAAAAAAATTAGCTATGTCAATGCCTGAGTATATCACACACACAGCTAGATTTTCTTAGTTACTTCTTAAAATAATCAGAACATTTGTAAAACTGGAATAATTGTAGTATCTTTTTACTAGAATTTTTCATAAATGAATTTAATAAGAGTAATGATAATGATGATAGTACTAACAACTAAAATTGTTTGGGATGATTATCTTCCCAACATATCGCTAAGAGCTTTATGTTTTATCTCATTTAATCTTAGTAATACTAATACTATTTTTTTTAAAAAATGTTATATTAGGTCCTATTGTAATTGTTTCACAAATAAGGAAAAAAGCTTAGACATTTAGATTTTTGTTTAGTTTAGTTTAGTTTGTTTAGTTTAGTTTACAAAATGGCAGAGCCAGTACTAGTAAATGTCAAAGAGTTATTGGGAAAACACAAACCTCTTCCATAGTTCCCCTGAAAACGATCTATACCAGTGAACTTCAAATATACATATGTATATAATTTTGGCAAGTCTTTAATATTGGCCCTTCTGTAATGATGTGATCCTTCCAGTACTGGCCATCTGGGTACACATGAAAGAACCTGGACTGCTGCACAGTAATAAAAGAGGTCTGCACCAAAGTGGAAGAGACCTTACTGTCCGCTGGAGGTTTTACTAAGTCTTTCCTGTAAAAGACTTAGAAATTTATAACAGATTCCCACTGTCTATCATTTATATTTGTTGGATGTAATTATAGTTAGATTAACCTGGTACATGTACATATACGTATGGTTTTCACTCTCTAGCAGACTCAGTTCACTGTTTCTGCTGCTCTAATGAAACATTTCCATTTTTGTTATGGACGGATATTTAGTGCAAATATGACACTTTAAAACAGCCTTCCACTCTCCTTTGAATGCATAAGGTCATATAAAAAGAAAGCCAATTGTTAGTACCTCCCCTTGGCACCTTAGGGAATCTCTCCAGTTCTCCTATTTGCCACCAAGAATCAGCTCACCTGCTCTGCATCCTAAGCTCCATTGTAGGAACTTCGTTTGGGGCTAAGTTTCACCTCTCTTAAGCCCCCTTTCAGCTTGGCAGCTCTGGACTTGAGTTCAGTTCTCACCTTTGACACTAGGTGCTTTCCTCAGAACTCTTGGCTCTATGCTGTGGAGCAAGGGAGAAGATTTTGCACCACAGTCCTGTTGTGCCACCCAGCAGCCTAAACCCCAGCTAGGACAACACCCTGAGATAATAGGGGAACCAAGTAAACAGTGTCTTAAAGAATGTCGTTTCAACAAAGAAAGTTATTTCAGATGGAAAAGTCTACAATTCACCTTCTCTCATTCAACTCTTACATTTATTTATTAAAAGCAAGTCGGCCCTAGAATATGCAAATGCATTCATTTTCCCTCATCAGAGTTAAGAAGCAACAGAAAAAAAAAAAAAAAACAATGAAAAAGAACAGCAAAATTTTAAAATAAGCAAAAAGGAAACATCCCCCTTGTTTCAGCACCTAATGTCCTGATGAGAAATTTTATGCCAAAATGATGTTCAGGTGACTCTTTTCCACAGAAGGCTTTATCTTAATATTTCAAATGCCTCAGTGGTGCATCTGAGCCTGGGGTTTTTTCATTCTATTTGACATGAGGCAGGTTCTTTCCATTTGAGGAATAGGGTTACTTTTAATTATTTGTGACAAGGTATTCATACCTCCTCTGTGGGACTCCTGGGGTACAGAGAACTAGGCACAAACCAGTATGAAACTCTGGCTATCGTTTTACCATGTTTGTCTCTGGCCCAGGAGTCTCATGTCTTCTGCCTGCATCTATGAAACAACAGGTGTACTTGTTAGCTTGCAAGTCGAGCAAAGTTCTAGACCCTACACAGTTCTTGAAACCCATCACATTCAAAATAAAAATCAACAACCCACGAGGCCCCATCACGTGCCCTCTCTGATCCAATCTCCCAGTTCTCTTCCTCTTGCCCACGCTGACTCAGTCTCACGGCCCTCTTCCCTTTCCTCTGCGCATGCTCAGCACTTGCCAGCCTCAGGACCTTCATGGTTTCTCTGCCCTCTAATTCTAGTCCCTTCTCCTAGATGTCACCATGGTGGGCTGCTAATCTCTTTCATGTCTTTTCTGAAATACTACCTCCCTTGCATCCGCTCCACTCACTCATTCTTCTAAAAACTGCAGCCTTCAAACCCTTATCTCCTTCCTTGCTTTCTTTTTCTCCATGGTATTTATAACCATCACATCTCTATCTGTTTCCTTATTTACTTGTTTCTGCCCAATTCCCCTTCGCTGGAATGTAAGCTCCAGGAAGTCAGGGAGTTTTCTTCACTTTATTCATTGCTGTTTCCCCAGCGGCTAGATCAGTGCCCTGCACAGAGTAGAAATTCAATAAATGTGTTGAATGAATGGAATTTTGACAAACACAACAGACAACTTACACATTAAATGTATGGTTACATTCTGTGAAATGCTAAGCAATGTGGATACATCTAAACAAACAAACAGTGCCTTTCTGCATAGAGTTTACAGTCTTATCAGGCAAACATATTTGTCAAATAATCATACAAATATATAACTATAAATTGTAGAAGTGCAGTGAAGAACATGTACAAGACCTGAAACTACCTTACCTGGTGGAAAGACATTAATTAGACTGATTTTTTCACATCTATCTTGATCGTTGTGTAGACAAAAGTTGGGGAGGGTATGTGAAGGAGGGACTGAGAAAATGAGAATAGAAGATTATTGCTGCATTTCTGTGTACAGATGGAACAGTGTGGTGGCAGTGAGGACAGAGAGAAGATGAATTATAGAGAGATTTTAAAAATAAAACTGACAGACTTTGAGGATGGAAAATATATGTGGGGTAAGGGAGGGGTAAATATCACCGATATCTCAGGTTTATTAGACACCTCAACTTAAGTTTCTTCATCACTCAGTCCTTCTTATCACATCTCCATTATTCTCTCACTGTGCTACTTGATGACAGGAGCTCAGCAGTATGCAAAAAAGAAGCGTTTATCTATTCAATTTACAGAGATTCTACCATGAGCTGAGTTCTGTGCGCGACAGAGTGGAAGGAAGCTGTAAACTGCAGTGGCAAAACGGACACAGCTTCCGCCTGCGAGGAGCTTCTGGGTTTATAATGGAATCAAAATATGTAAAGTGAGGCTCCATCAAAAGAAAAGCACTTCTTTTGAATTGCATCCATAGTAGGCTGCTATGAAGCATGCTGAAATTAATTCCAGAGCTTCGGGAGAAATGGAGCAAACTGATAGCCTCTCTCTGCAATAAAAGAATTATCAGATGTCCCCGAAGCAAGACCACAATGAACATGGAAAGAACAGTTTCCTTCTGCTTCATGCTCATTTTGTGTTAGATATTTTGGTTTCTTCAATTCAAAATTGGTGTTTACTTTCAGAATTGTGTTTTAATGTATAATCATGGAATTTTGGAGACCTTCTGGCCCAAGTCCATCATTTTTAAAGAGGAAGAAACTTGAGGCCTAGGAAGGCAGATGGATAGATGCATCCTGGGCAGATTTAGGCAGTTGTATGACTTGTTTCACTCTATCTTGGTCTAACGTATTGAATAGATTCCCAATTCAATCTAATAGCATTTATTTATGATATTCAACTTACTAAATATTATAAACTTCGCATATGAGTTTCTACAATGTGAGGCTGACAACAAAGGAAACTGCCATTTTTGTAGGTCCAAAGTAGTTGAATATCAGCAATTTCATATGGTTCAAACTGATGGGTAATATCATATATATATATAGAAATAATATTTCAAGTGTAAAAAAATGTGCAATGTAGGAATGATGATTTCTCAGCCTAGAGCCTCTAACGCTTGTTCCGATATCAAAAATTAAGTTGCGATTCATTTGGGGAGAAATTAAAAAAAAAAATGCAACAAATCCTTGATAACTCCCCTAAGGGGAATAAATATCATTAGAACCTTTTAAATGAAAAGATCTGAAAAAAGAAATAAATGTTCTGTTAACAAACATTTGTCACCATCGGTACTTCAAATTAAGTTTAAAAATCTAATTTATTGCCTACTAAGGCACAGTGCAAGAACCCCAGTATATGCCTGAAATCATGGATAGTACTGAGCCTTGTAGATACTATGTTTTTTCCTATACATGCACACATACCTTTGATAAAGTGTAATTTTTAAGTAAGAGATTAACAATAATACCCACACATACCTTTGATAAAGTGTAATTTTTAAGTAACAATAATAATACCTAATAAAATTGAACAATTTAACAATAATACCTAATAAAATCAAACAATTATAACAATATACTGTAATAATAAATTATGTGAATGCGTGGTCTCTCTCTCTCTTTCGCCCCTGCCATCCCAATGCAAGACAGCTACTTAGTGACTAATGAGCAGTTAGTGTATCCAGCATAGATACTCTGGACAAATAAATGATTCACATTTTGGCTAGAACAGAGCAGGACAACATGAGATTTCATCACACTACTCACAACAGCATGAAATTTAAAACTTATGAATTATTGTCAACAACTAAATTTATGGTAATGCCTGAATTACTTGAAATTATATATAGTAAGGATGTCTGTAAAAAGAAATGTTGAAGGGTGGGCCAACTGTGAAATAGAGGAAAAAAATCATTTTGGATAAAATTTAGAGTCTGGCTATTTAGATGGTGTGCTTTATGGCCTTCATTGGTTACCTTTGAACAAATAAAGCAAATTTGAACATCTGGAAGAGTGAAGTTGATTATCAGACAAAACATTAATACATCAAGACAATCGTTATATTATATTCCCATTAAACTACTTTTCCCTGCTGACCTAAATACTTACCAGGATCTAACTTATTTTTCTCTTCTTTATTTGTCATTATAAGGGCTTTTGAGATCTCAGTGTTAAATACATAAGACTTGGCTAAGTCCTATGACATCCAGGGGAAGTCTAATACCATTCCTGGTGAGCTTGAATATTGATATAATTAAAGAAAAACTGTTGGCTGTCATTAATTGGCAAATTAACAAGGAGAATCATATCACTTTATTTCAAAAGATTTAGTCACTTTTCTCACATGAAAAACCAAAAAAGAAAAAAAAAGAGGGAAATAATTAAGCAAATATTTCAAATAAGTCGTTTTTTTTACATTAAACTACTTATAAGCATTTTGCTACTGTAGCTATCTTTGAATGCTGTCCTTAAAAATCTCTGATTTTTTTCATTTGTATGTGTACATAGACTTGTTAAAAATTGTTATATTTTTTCTTTTTGTTTATTTCTTTTCTTTTTTTTTAAATATATAATAGTTAAGTATACCTGTGTAATAAAAAAAAAAGGTTTAAAAAAATAAAAATAAAACTTATAAATTATTTATTTCTGGAATTTTCCATTTGTGTTTTTGGACTGTGGTTGGCCACTGAAACTGAAACCATGGAAAGCAAAACTGCAGATAAGGGAAGACTACTGTACAGGGATGAAAAACATGGTTATGGCCCTCAATAAAATGATTGTCTTCTCTTGATAGCAACAAATTAACAGTCAAGAAAATAAAATGAGTTAAATTGTATGAGTTATCTGCTATGAGCTAAATCTAAATACTGTGGAAGCATGTAGGAGGGGCATCTACTCACCCTGGAAGGAAAGGTTGTGGGCAGGGACTTTCTAGATGATAAAGGAAACATTGAACTTAGCCTTGAAAGAGAATATCAAGGTAGAGAAAGCACATGAAGCAAAGATAGATGATTGTCTACTGATTTCCTTGTATAGTGTGGAGCAGTTGCTGGGAGACACCTGCTCAGACAAGGCCAACATTTTCAACATAGTTTGCATCCAGGTGCAGCCACGTGACCAGTTCTCACCAAAGAAATGTGAGAGGAATTTATGTATGTCATTTCTGGATTAGAGTTTTTAAGACAGGATTTGTGCTTTCTTTATTCACTTTTCTCCCCATCTGCCATTTGAAACCAAAAACTGGAAGATCTCAGAGTCTGAGAGAGTAATTTGGGGAAAAAAGCCAAAATTCCTGGATCATCACTTGTAGAAAGCCACCTTCCAACCAGGAGCACTAATATATTAAACAGCTAAATCCATGAGAAATAAGTTTCTGTGATGTTAAGTCTCTGAACATTAATCTACTTACCACAGAAGTGGCTAGTGTTAACCCTACATAACACACAGTGAGAAAGAATTGCAGGCAGTGGGCAGCTTGGGTAAATCATTAAAGCAAAAGACTATGGTAGGACTTCTACTTCCAGCAAGATGGAATAGATACTCATTTTCCTATTTCTTCCTCTAAGCAGACTTAGAAATCCTAGACATTACTTTTAAAACAAAAATGAAAAACCTCTGAAAGTTGGAAAGAAAAAGGCAGATCAGGAAGCAACAATGGGGCCCACAAAACAACATGGCAGTGAGGTCCTTGGGTTTTCTTTTGCCTTCATGTATTCTGAGCTAGATACTAAAGAAGCCAGCAACCCAAAATTCCAATAGGTATAGACAAAACAAAAAAGTTTCAAAATGAAGATTCTTCTCTCTAGCCAAATGTCCAGGAAAGAGAAAACCTAGAACCATAGAAAATGTTTAAACAATAACAGCACTACTGCAGCCAAACACCACACACACACACACACACACGCACGCACGCACGCACGCACGCACACACGCACATACACATGCACACACATGTAGTTCTACACCCAAAGCCTTTGGCAAAGAAAGAGTGGGGATTCTAGACTTCCACTCACCTGGTTATAAGGAGGTGCCCCTCCCCTCCTGACAGAGTGATGCCAGAGAAGTCTGAACCATTAGTCAGGACTTTCACCCCTGTTCAGGGATAATGAGGCTTCCTGCTATGGTGTTAATGGGAACCTCATAGGAATCAACAGTAAGAAACTCATTTACTTCTTGTCTTTTTTTGATTAGGATCTCAGGCGACATTAGAGAGTCTGTCACTCTCTGCTGAAATGATATCAAGGAAAGTCTAGTGGAGAGTGAGGACTTTCATCACTCTCTGGTAGCAGCAATGCCACTGTACCATATGAGAAGCAGTAATGAGGCTCTCCTACCCCATCCCACCAAGGTAGTAGCAGTGAAAGCATAGTAGGGATCCTGAAATTCCATCCCTGCCCCATAGTAATGAGATGTCCTCCCCATTCAGAGTGAATCACTGCAGGACAAATGGGGATCCCAGACCTCCACCTCCATCAGGTGGTAGCCCACTTCTCCTGCCATTAGAATATCAGAGGAAACCTAATGAATGAGAAGATTTAAACAAGATCTAGAGTCTCAGAACATAATATCCAAAATTCAAAATACCCAAGAGTCAATTGAAAATCATTTGTTATACCAAGATCCAGGAAAATCTCAACTTGAATAAGAACAATTAACAGATGTTAGCACAGAAATGACACAGAGGTTAGAATTATATGACAAAGGTTTTAAAGTAGCCATTGTAAAAAAAGTCTTCAACAAACAATTATAAAAACACATGAAACAAATAAAAGCAAAGAAGATCTCAGTAAAGAAGTCAAATATATAAAGAAGAACCAACTGAAAGTTTTGGAAATTAAATATACAATAACCAAAATTTAAAATTCATGGAATGTGTTCAAAAGCAGAATGGAGAGGTCAGGATAAAAATCAGTGAACTTAAAGACAGAAAAATAGAGTATCTAATCCAGACAACAGAGAGAAAGTAGGCTGAAAAAAAAAAATTAACAGAGCTTCGGAAACATGTGGGGTGATAAAAAAAAAAAGGTCTCATATTCATATTACTGATGTTCATAAAGGAAAAGAGAAATACAGTGACTCTGAAAAGCATTTAAAGAAATAATTGTTGAAAATTTCTCAAATTTAGTAAAAGCCAAAATCCTATAGATTCAAGAAGTCTCACAAATCTCAAACAGAATAAACTGAGAGAAATCCACACAAGACACACTGTGGCCAAACTTCTGAATACTAAAGACAAAGAAAAATATCTTGAAAACAGTAAGAGCAAAATAACTCTTGACCTATATGGGAAAACAATTAGAACGACAGTAGATTTTTCATTAGAAACAATGGAGCCAGAAGGAAAAGCACAATATACCAAAACGTCCCTAAAATGAAATAATTTGATTAGGTCTATAATTATTAAGAAAAATTAATTCATAATTTAAAATACTGAAAAAGAAATTTCCAGGCCCAGCTGGCTTTGTTGAAAAAGTCTACCAAATCCTTAAAAAAAGAATTAACTCTAATTCTACACAGTCTTCCAGAAAACCGAAGAGAACACTGCACAGCTCATTCTGTGAAGTCAATATTCCCCTGACGCCAAACAAACAAAACAAGAATGTCCAATATTACCACTCCTATTAAACATACTACTGGAATCAAGGTAAGAAGAGAAAAGAAAAGCCATACAAATACGAAAGAAAGAAACAAAACTGTCCTTATTTCCAGATGGCATAATGGTCTATGTAGAGAAAGCTCGAGAATCTATAAAAAATGCATAGAACTAATAAGTGAATTCAGCAAGGCCTCAGGGTATAAGGTCAACAAAAAATCAACTGTGTTTCAATATATCAGCCAAAAACAAAACAAACAAAAAAACACAGAATTTTAAAATTTTATTGCTCAAAAAATATTTAAAATACTTACCCAAACACACACAGGACTAGTATGCTAAAAACTATAAAATACTAATGAAAGAGATTAAAAAGAAGCTCTATAAATGGGAAGACATGCCATGTTTTCTCATTGGAAAATTTGATGTAGTAAGGACATTAATTTTCTTCAAAACGATATATAAGTTTGACGCAATTCCTATCAGAATCTCAGCACAATATCATTCTGAAATCTACACAGAAAGGTAAAGAAACTAGAATAACTAAATCAACTTTG